TTTCTTCCAGTGCCTCCCCGCTTCTTGAACAATGTCGCCGCACTCAATTGTCCGTCATCCATTGCACTTACTCTCGGAATTCAGCTTACCACTTCTTATCGCTGCGTGCTCGGCTAGGCGCCATTTGAATTATGGCCTCGAAAAGCGCCGATGGCGCTGTGATCGAAAGGCACGCTGACACGGTGTCACCGCTCGATGAGAAGTCGACCCCGCAAAACGCATTCTACTTGACCGAGCAGGACCCTGAAGAGTCGAAACTGCTGGAGAAGCAAGTCCGATGGAAGACAGACTTACGTCTGTGTAGCATTGCCGGCATTCTGTGCAGTCTCAACCTACTCGACTCGGGCATTCTCTCGTCGGCATCGGTGACTAGTATGCCCAGTGACTTGGATCTGCATGGAAACCGCTACTCAGCCTCGATTTTCATATTCACGGTTGCGAGCATTGTCTGCCAATTGCCGTCCACTCTCGCAGTTCGCTGGGTCGGTCCCCGAGTCTGGTTCGCCGCGATTACCTTCATATTCGGCCTGATCACGTTATGTACCGCCTTTATTCATACTTGGCGACAGATGATTGCGCTGCGAGTGTTGCTCGGAATGGCCATGTCAGGGATCTATCCAGGCTTGACTTATCTCATCAGCACATGGTACCCACGCCGAGAACAGCAGGTCCGGTTCGCGGTTCTCCAGTCGGGTGAGGTGATCGGGCTCGCGACAGGGTATATCGTGAACTATGGTCTGAACCTGCTGGATGGGAAATCAGGCATGCAAGGCTGGCGCTGGATGTACCTTGTTCAAGGCTTGATCACTAGCGTCATTGGGATTCTCACATATTGGTGGATGGTCGACTTCCCGGAGAACGCTCACCGTAGCTTTCACTTCCTGAGCGAAGCAGAGGCACGTGTGGCTGCACAGGTGAGAAGCAACAGCAGCAGCAACAGCAGCAACAGCAACAGCAATAACTGACACAGTAGCAACAGCGGATTCGAGCTGACCGTGATGACATAATGCCTGATGCTTTCTCGTGGCGCAAGGCTTTGGCCCCTTTCGCCGATTTGAAGCTGTATGGCTTTGCCTGCATGTACTTCTTATTGAATCTTGTTTCAACGGCGCTGAACTACTTTCTGCCTATCATTCTCGAGTCAGGTATGGGCTTTTCGAGCAATGATTCTATCCTTCTCTCAACACCGGTACGTTGGTTTGTTCCTTTATTTCGGAGTTGGTCAGATAGGGGTTTCCTACGGATCGTGCTTCCAAAAATGTAGTTTGCGTCGTCCTAACCTTGATACTATACCTTGGTAGCCCTACTATTGGTCCGTACTTCCGGTCCTTTTCACGTCGTTCGTGGGCGATTCTTATCGCATCCGGGGCCCGCTCATCACCTTCAACGCCCTCTGCCTGATAGCGGGATTTCTTATGTTTGGTCTATCATCCTCGACGCAGGTCACTGTGCGGTATATCGGGACTTTCCTCGCTACTGGGGCATATGTCTCCAACTGGGCGGCTCTGAACGCATTCATGGCCAACAACGTCGTGGGTCAGTGGAATCGCGCCTCCACTGCAGCCGCCGTATCGGCGTGTAATGGTCTGGGTGGTGTGGCGGGCAGTTATATAGTGCGACAGCAGGAAGCACCACGCTATCAAACCGCCGTCTGGGTATCTATTGGGTATGTCGGGCTCAATCAATCCTTTGGTTGGAACCGAAAACACTGACAACATCTCGTTCCTGTGTCATCAGCTCCCATGTCCTCATGATTGTTCTAGTGGGTGTCTTCACGCTCTCTTTCTACTCGCTGAATAGACGGCAGAAGAAAGGAAAGATTCTTCAGAATATGGTACGTCTGCCTGGTGCGATTAATGCCAAAACTCACTAACGTTGTCAATGTTTCAGCGTGGATTCGGGTATACATATTAGCATATAGATCTCGGACGAATCGAAGTAGAGCATGGCTTTCACATTGAGCTGGTCCAAGAGCCTTCTGTAGATATGGTACTCCGTATTCACTCATATGATGGACCTGCCCGAGTCTCATCGGCTGCCTCTTTGAAGGGGTGTGTATCAAGCCTCACTCGGAATGGACTCCAATGCAAATCTGTCTGAAGGCCGAGTTGAAACCACAGGAGATAGCCTGGCTTGACTTTCCAGGGTGGACAGGCTCTGGCCGGGGCGGCGAGCGCTACCCCCTTTACGGGAAGATCCGTCCTCGCTCTCAACCATGGCACGTCTGCTCGTATCACTCTCAGAAGCCCGAGTTCCGACCGACTTTTTACTGAAAAGCTTCCGGGGTAGGAACCGGATTATCAAAGGCCAAGTGGGGGGCAAGCAGGCGGCTATGATGATGAGGGCTCCTTCAAGAATAGTCCAGATCCCAAGATCGGTTGATGTCCCTACAGCAGGGTCAGTATGTAAGGTTTCATCAGGCCTCTGTGGGGGACAGACATGTAGGATCAACCGTCGCTCTTTCTTCGAAGAAGTTTGTCATGCGCAGAATGCTGGCTACCGTCCCTCTGTTGCACGGTCAATCAACGATGCATACATATGCCATACATATGATATGCGCTGAGTCGGGAAATACGCTTACAATCCTCCCAGGAAAAAAACTCCCGTCAATGCCAGCTTGTGACCACGGGTGGTATGGAGTCTCCAAACATATGGCAGTGGTAATATCAATAAGAGGACATCCGTCAAAATGTTCGGCGGCGAGACGTATCGGTAGAAGGCTTGTTGGTTGAAACATGAGCCGCCTTCGACACCTGTAGTCTTGTTCCATGTGTAATCGATTGGCCAGCATTGAAAGATAGCTGCAAGCAAAACCCCGATACCGTGCCCGAGTACGAGTGCTCCAACGATATACGCGGCCACTTTGAAGTTTCGCGTGCTAAAGATGCGAACGTAAAATATCAGAATGGAAATCTTGGCTGGAGTTATGACAAAGGGGAAATCTATAATCTCATTGGCGTATAGACCCTGTGCGTCAATTGATCAGTCATCAATATCTTAGCCTCAAGACCTTCTTGTTAGTACCTTTTCGAGAGCAACCAACTTCTCTGGAGTCTCCTCCACAAAGCTCATATGATATCCTACTCCCGCTACTTTGACCACTATAGCAAGGGTCAGTTGTTGCTTATGGGTGATAACTGAGGTCGTCACATACAAACCACGTACAGAGCCGACTGTCCCAGGCTAGCAATCTGAAGGCTTATCAGCAATCAAGACACGGACTGCTGGCTAGCTGCCTTACCAAGGCGATAACAATCAGAAAATCATCAAGCGCGTAGGCGAGTCTCTGACTGTATCGAGTATAGAAGCGAGCAATCACCGCAACGATCTGCAGTATTGCCATAGTAATGGCTACGCCCAGCAGGGATCCCCCATTGTAGGGAACATGAGGCGACTGCTGAGCCATTCTTCCACTGCTATGTCGCCTTTTCACCACCTGGCCTACATCGATGAGGACAAATGATGTGTATATGGCGTCAGTTCCAAATGAAAAGAGAGGAGCAGCCCGGCAGCGGGCTTTGTGGCGTATGTCTTAAGCCATTGAACAGCAACAAAACGGCATCCATCGATGACTATCAGGTAGGAAGAGTGGTGATAGCCATAATTTCTTCAAGAAGTTGCAAGAATCATTACATAATTTCGAGATCAGACCGGCGGACTGTCGAACCATGGGTAGACTTCATCAAGAGTATGGTTTGCCGCCGTCAGTCTCCAATTCCTGTCAACCGTCAAGGTAAAACTACTTCGGTGGTCAAGGCCGAATGCAGCACCTAAGTTCTGATTAATGAGCTACTTGACTGGACTGATTATTCTTTTTCCAAAGTCAAGTTTGTCATTTCACAGTCGTCCCGGCACTCGGGGTGGCTTCGCCTCATGAACTTGAAGTAGACACCGGATGTGTCTTCGACCTTCAAGAGCTGCGAAGATTGCGATGGAACCTGAAATCAGGTTCCCGAGCCAGTTGCAGTGGTTGGGATGAATTCTCAGCCTGCCGACTCTTACTCCTTCTGGCACTTTTCTTCCAACAACACCGGCAACTCCAGGCCACTGGAAGTCGCTGCGTGTCACAGAATCGACCTAGTATATCTGACACCATGCAACTAACTGAGCCTCTCCGGTTACTTCTGCTGTTGTTGGCTATCCATCCTTATTAAGCTTCAAGGGATTCCGCGGTTACTGGTGATCAGGCTCAATGGCATTGATGTTCTCGGCGACAAGTGGTCGCTGCTTACATTACACAGGGTGGCAGGGAAACATCATGGAAGCAATTACGGAATGGCTGGTTCCAGGCTTCGTTAATTCTAATCCAAAGCTGATTCACGTCATATGACGATTACTTCGAGTATGCTTTGCGAAAAGATCCTCTCTGCCTATTGTCATACTAAAGGGATCCAAATATAGCTTCTAGAGCTGAAGCAAGAACTCTCAAGCACCTTCATAATGCTGCAAATCTCTATACATGCATACTGGGCGCTTACGGACTGGTCAAACTGTTCTACTAAATCTCAATCCGCCAGTGACCTAGCCTTTGCCTTCCTTCGGTGATGTCTCCGAGTCCATCCTCTCAGCCCTCCGATAATCGAGGCCCGCAGATTAGGGCGATCACCATCGCCTTGATCATTGTCCCATCAGTTGCCGTTGTCCTTAGATTCTGGTCGAGAGCCTTGTTGCCGAAACCTCCTCGGTCCAACACCCGCTCTGGGTTCTGGTGGGATGATTGGACTGCTCTCGCCGCTGCGGTTAGCCGCGAGTCCCCTCTCAGCACTGGCATGGACTAATCATGCTCTGGCAGTTGTTGAACATTGCTGTTTGCGGCATCAATCTGAGAATGATCCGGCTTGGACTGGGGAGACAGGTTGAAAAAGTGTCTCCAGCAGACCTGGTCTCTTTACTGAAGCTGTTATGGGTGGTATACTTCTTAGTACTTGGGGGAACCTCAATAGCACGAGCGTCCGCTCTGTTTTTCTACGGAAGGGTTCTCAGTCAAGGTCCCTCTCGCTTCCGATATGCGCTCTGGATAGTGCATGGATTGAATATCGCATGGTCGATCAGTACTATCCTCGTCATCTTTCTCACATGTTCTCCGATCGAAAAAAAAACTGGATGCCAGATCTGCCGGGCACCTGCATAGATACAAGGAGCTTGTGGCTAGGCTTTGGAACGCCGGATCTCATTATCGATATCCTCGTCCTACTCTTGCCCTTGCCCATGCTCTGGAAGCTGCACTTGAGGCTCACGCGGAGGCTTCTTCTAGCTGGAGTATTCACTAGCAGATACCTGTAAGTAGAGCCCGGTGAGCTAGCTTGACACTCACTTACTTGTCAGTGTGGTTGCGGTCTCCATAGGGCGTCTGATCACGATTGTCCAAGTCAGTCCGCACTTAGCGAAGAACCCGACGTGTAGGTTATTCCAACCTGTGGTATGCGAGAGACCCTGACTCACAAGTACATAGATCACGCCGTCAATCCATCGATTTGGATCGAAGTAGAGATCCCTATCTCCATCATCAGCATTTGTCTTCCTGGCATCTATTTTTTGGTCTCCCATGCTTATGAAGGGGGCTTTCACTCGTTGTTTTCGAGAGCCTCGACCTGGTAGCTCTTCACTTTAGCGATATTTCCTTATTTCGTAACCAGGAGCTGAGAGCTATTCATAGTACTTTGCAGAGAATCTTTTAGGACTAATGACTGGATTGGGTTGGGTTGGCTCTCGGCTCGTATCCAACACCGAGGGGATGCTTCGTCAGATTCGTGTGTTGGCTCAGCCCAGTCCTGGAAGTAGTTCGAATGATAGCTCCTCTGACTGGCTCTAGAGCTCGATATAAGCATGGATATACCGGCGCATATTTTCAAGTGCAGGGTCCAGACAGACAAGCAAAACAATGATCATTGATCATTTGATGTCAGCCTGTCGATCCTCTCCGAGCACGGGCACCTTACCATTTCGGGCCAAGCGCACGTGCCCCCGGGCCCACTTCGGGATGTCATCATATGTTGATTAGCGAATTCAGAAATGATAACTGTATACTACTAAGGTACTAGTACTACCATGCAATATAGTTATTGCTTCGGGGCAATAATACAGTTGAGTTATCACTTTCTCGGCTTACGTGAGCCTATGGTGGTGCCGTATGAGAACAAGGAGATGAAGGCATTCGTGAAGAGTGATAACTCTAGCGCTCAAGCTCCATGAGATGTACGCCTTTACTATAGTCATCGCAATGGCGTATCGTGATACTGTATAGGTAGCCGGAAGAAGGCTATATGTACTATGCACTCAGAAGACAGAGGTCAACCAAGCTTCACAAAGGTCAAATGCAAAGAGGTACACGATGGAAAGGATGATCTGAGAGCGCTGCTGAACGTAAAATACCAGCAGGAAACTCCCCGGATATAGGGAAATAACTTGTTAACGCCGTGATTACCCATTCCAACACTCATCCATCCACATAAATGGCTTCATCTCTGGCAACCATACACAGTCTGAGTTTCTCTTAAACCTTGCCATTTCACCCCCACCACCAAACAACAAAAGCCAACATGCCACCGCCATACACCACCCAGACCACCACCGCCGACCTCCTAAGCGACTACGCCCCCGTCATCAAAGGCAAAGTCATCCTCACAACGGGGGTCTCCCCCAACTCCCTCGGCGGCTTCTTCGTGCAGTCCCTCGCCCAAGCCCAACCTGCCTGCCTCATCCTTGCCGCCCGTAATCCCGAGCAACTCGCTCAAACCGCCGCGGCGCTCCGAGCCAGCACCAGCACCAGCACCAGCACCAGCACCAGCCCCAGCCATCCTACCACGGAGATCCGCACCCTACAGATCGACCTATGCTCCCTCGCGAGCGTCCGCGGCGCCGCCGCCGAGGTCAACGAATGGGACGACCTCCCCGCCATCGACGTCGTGGTCAACAACGCGGGCATCATGGGCGTGCCGGACTACCGCCTCTCCGCCGAGGGCTTCGAGGCCCACTGGGCGACCAACCACCTCGGCCCGTTCCTGTTCACCAACCTGATCATGCCGAAGATCGTGGCCGCGCCGAACCCCCGCGTGGTCGTCGTGAGCAGCGACGGTCATCGGTTGAATCCGGTGCGGTTCGACGATTGGAATTTCGATGTAAGCCGTTTACAGCTGTTTCAACTCATCGGGGAGAGTTCCGCAAGCACAAGAATCCAGCTGTGAAAGATAGAGAACAAAAAGTTCCAAGCTGACACAATGGGGAGACGTAGGAAGGGAAAAGCTATGATCGCTGGCGTGCCTATGGGCAAAGCAAAACAGCCAACATGTTGTTTGCCCGCTCGCTGGCGCAGAAGCTGGGGTTGAAGTGTAACCTACAGGCGTTCAGTTTACATCCCGGGGTCATTTTTACCAATCTGGATAGGGATGTGGATTGGAGTGTTGGGATGAAGGAGCTTCGTATGTTGCAGGATCAATTCTTTTCTTCTCTCTCTCCCTCTCTCTCTTTTATTGTTCGTGTCATTGGGGATGCGGGAAAAGGGTTCATCTCGGCTAATGGTTTGCCTTGTGTATAGAGGCTGTGGACCGGTCACTTGGTAATCGGGAAGGTTGGAAGGACGAATTCGACGCGAAGAATCTCGAGAGGGGCGCCGCGACTCATGTCTATGCCGCCTTTGATCCGAGTTTGAAGGGTAGGCAATCGATCTCTGTTCCGTGCTCACATGATTGCTAACGAAATGGCAGCTGTCAATGGGGCGTATCTTGTTGATTGCCATGTGGCTGACCCCTTGGTGGATACGGTCAAGCCATGGGCCACCAGCAGTTTCGAGGCTGAGAGACTTTGGAGACTGAGCGAGAAGCTTGTGGGCCAAGAATTTCCTTATTGAGGAAGGACTATGAACGCATTCGACCTAAGACTGATCGCATTGAGAAGTGCAATCGCTACCTATTATACACTCTAGAAAGATGCTTCTCTGTTCGCCTGCCCTAAACATGCATAGATACATCAACAACAAGCTGCCCGCGGGGTATATGAGAAAGTGAATCAAGGCGCCGCTCGAAATTTGGTACATATCGGTATGAAGAAGATCAAAAATAGCGAGGTGAAGTGCTGAGTACAAGGGATGACCGGGTGAAAAAGCATGGCGAAGCAATCGAAGTGGCGCTGACCCATGCTTCACTAAGCATAGAGATCATCGGGACATGGAGCCAAGACACATCAGTTCATGCGGTCCTTCTGCTCCCATTGTCCAACGAGCTTCTTCATCCCTGTCCATTCCTCTGAGCGCACATCTTCCGGAGTACCGCTAAGGCCTTTGCCGACTTCGAAGACCGTCACCACGCCGTCGAGACCACCGGTGGCAATGCGTCTACCCTCTCGCTCTTCCCAAGCCACCTTGTTGAGACTCCTCGTAAGAATGCCTCCGCGGCCTCTAGAAGGCGTCGTTTTCACCGCCGGGACCTCTGTGTCCGTGTAGAGATCCCAAACCTCGAGGTTGCCAGCACCATCGACGAGAGAAAAGACTCCAGGGCGGTGAGGAGACCATTTGGCATCGTACACCACATCTTCGCGATTGATCTCAAGGATCGGAGAAACGACTTGAGTCGTGGCTATGGCCGACGTAGCCGGGGCGGTCGTGGCTGGGGGCCGCACACGCCAAAGTTTCACGCTCCAATCTAAACTCGAGCTGAGCAATAGGTCACCCAGATCGACCGGGCCGCGTGCCGGATGGAACGCAGTGGACATGATCGGCGCAGCATGGCCACGATACGCCAAACGATGGTCGGTACCAGCCTTAGCCCCCGCTCGGTCATAACGGTGGCACGGGTAGATTCCTCCTTCTTCGGTGCCAACAATGAAGAATGTCGGGTCGGATTGGGGGAATGACATGGTTGTGGGTGCAAGATCTTCGGTTTTAGACGGAGGAGGTGTGGACAGCTCCAGATACTCTTGAGGCTGTGAGAGCATATCAACAGTCCATCCACAGACAACACCATCCGTAGATGCTGTGAGGATGTTGTGGGCATTCTGGGTGCCGATTATCGAGATGCTGTAAACAGGGTGGGTATGTCCGGAGCCGGTCAAGGGCGTCTTCTGAACCGGCGCGCCTCCACCTGCTCGCGACGAACGGGTGTCCCACAGCAGAACCTGGCCCGAATATGATCCACCAACGATCAGGTTGGGATGGAAGGGAGAGAATTTCGCGGCCAATATGTCGGAGGTTGAATGGAAAACATACTCTGGGCGGGAGTGCAGGTGTTGGTTCCAGATCTGGACGAGGCCGTCGGGCTCATGGGGCGCAGAGGGGTTCTTGGTGTACGCGGCCAGAACGAGTTCCGGGAACTGTAGAATTAATCAGTCTTGCGATTAGTCGGCATCGACGCGCGTGACAGACCTTTGGAGAGAAGCTCAAATCGCTGATCATGCGTTTCTTGCTCCATCGTTCATCCCAGAATTGACAGACCTCTCGGATACCTCGTCTCTTCTTGCCATGCTCGTCGTCATCATCCAGCTCGCCATCGACACCTCCAAGCTCGTAATCTGCCAGAACATCATATTCTTCATCCAATGCCCGCTCAATCACTTTTGCCGACCGTTCAACAAAGTCTAAGAAGTCGTCCGACGAGGTAACAGCTTTGAGTTCATCTTCGTCCAGTGTGCGCAGCGGATACCGCATTTTTGCCATTTCAGACCCATTTTCATTCTCGGACTTCCGTTGAGCTGTCTGCAGTTCCTCCTCAATTTCTCTGCGAAGCTTCTTCAGAATTTCGTCGTCAAGCTCACTGACTTTCTTGCCGGAGCGTTTCGTATCACCTTCATCATCGGAGTCGACAGATATCTCATCAGGTCCTTTTAGATCATCGGTTTGCACTGCTTTGCTGTAGGTGACAATTTCGGGTTTAGGCTCAGGGGCAGGTTGCGGTTCGGGGGCGGCGACGAAGAGCTCGGTTCCGACGGTTTGGACTGCGATTGAATGGGAAACGGTTCGCGCAGGAGGGCTGAAAGCTTCTGCGTTATCTCCGCTCAACTGGCTAGCACTGAGGACGGAGTTTGGTCGGCTGCCTTTGCGCGAGAGGCCATCGGCACCGTGGCCGATCGAAGCTGATCCGGGGCGGTCGACAAGACGGGAAATGAAGTCGTCGAGCTCAGCTCTGCTGTCTGCACGACTCGGGACTGGCGATACGACCTAGGTAAATAATAGAGCTAAGTCTTCCAGCTCGAGTAGAAGAGAAATTTCGCAAGTGGGCATAAGGGCCTCTTACCTCAGAGGCGTCACCGCTATTGGCGCGAACCTGAGAGAATTCCCTCTGGCGCAATTCCCTCTGGCGCTTGAGTTCGGCGAGTTTGGCTTTCTTAGCAAGGATTTCAGCCTTGCGCTGTTGTATTGACGAGGACATAATGTGAGATGAATATGCACCTAGTAGATAAGAACGGAGGAGATCCGTTCAGACCACGTTTGGGTACAGAATAAGGTGGATTGGTTGTGTTGTGTTGTTTCGTTTATTTACTTCGGGACTTTTGGGGTGAGTGCCAGTGTTAGGTAATTAAGAGGAGGGGGGGGGTGGGAGTGGAACGGGGCCTCTTAACTTACCGTAGTCGCGTTCCCGACCCTCCCTGCTCTCCTCTCTCCCAGTTCCCCCCCGTCCCGCTTCTCCCAGAATCCCAGAATGCCCAAAGTCCGGGTTAACTTAGTTAGTGGTCGGATGACATAAGCGCAGCAGGACCGACGGTCCGGAAAAACTCGCGACAGGAACTTCGTCTTTACAAGCTTCAGTATCCCAGTCCGCATTGCCAGCCATTGACTGTCGATACCCTCCAAACCGGTCGCTCGGAATCCGGCTTCGATCCTTCTTCTCTCACTAATTCTGTTTGATTGCCGCTCCGGAGGCCCAGGGACTCTCTTCAATCAACATGGCTTCTCAGGGTGTCAACGTGAGTCTCCGCCAGGGCCCGTTCTGATACATACTCCAATCCCAATCCAGCCCAATTCAGCCAACCCAATACCACACCCCCTCCAGTATGGCCCTCAACTATTGACACTATTCAATTACCTTGTAGGTTTTCCGCTACTCGGCTCTGATTACCGGTCTCGTCTACGGTTTCTACCACCAGTCCTCCCTCACCTCCGCCGCCAAGCACGCAGAGGCCGAGCGTGAATATGCCCGCCAGGAGCGCCTGATCGAGCAGGCCAAGGCCGAATGGAAGAAGAAGACGGCGCCCAAGGACTCTAAGACGAACAGCGGCGGTATGTCTCTTCTCGCTCTCCCCTAAGCTCTCAGCACAACCCGATTCATCCGCGTTCGCTCCTCCCTTGAAATGGCCAGCATGGCCCCCTCCGATGGACGCTAATTGGTGACTGTGTGCAGTGATTACGGATCCCGAGGACAGCCGGTTTGACCTTGAGGCTTTCCTGAAGCTGAAGGCCGGTGAGAACTAGATATGTTTGGAAGTATACAGCGAGAAGATGATTTGCTTTTATCTCTCCCCCGACCGGAACCTGACAAGGTATCGAGGAGAGATTGCGGGATGATCCCGGTTATGTATTATTGTTTGTTGGTCTAATTTCCCAGAGTCGTGTCATTGCGAGCGAAAGGAATGATTTTCTTTTTTCCACTATAGACATCATCCCCGCATCTGTACATACCCTGGGCTGTCGTGCATGTGTACACTACAGTTGGGCCAGAAGAGCAAGAGATTCAGTTGTATGCTTCGGTTTCATTGCTGATCCTTCCGTACTGCTTGCGTACCCCTGCATGACTTCCTGCCCTTGCGCGTGGTGCCGCTCTGGGGGGGCATTCAAAGGCCGTTTATGGTACTTCATAGGACGCTTGCTAGAAGACCATTGTTCTGCACGTTTGTCTCTTAAATTCCAGCCTTTAGTCTTCATTAGAGGGTATTATCGTTATGGTCTCATTCGTGAGGAATCGATCCCCTAGTGATCCGCAGGGTTTCAACCACGACGACTGCCAATCAAGGCCATTATTTCACTTAGATCGTTGTACAGCTGCTCATCTTGCTGAGAGTCATCAACGACAGTGTTGGGGTGTAGTAGTCTGGTTTGTTCGTCCTGGGTCCATCCATGAGCCATGAGCTTTCCTATCGTGGCTGGGTCTCCTCGCTCTGTGGCCGCGGGGTCGAGACCGAGGTAGCTTGCAGCTGTTGCAGGTCTGATTGTTTCATATGCCCTGCTTACTTCTCGCAACGTCTTTTCCTGGAAATATGCTTCGAGCATGTGAGCAAGAGCATTCGGAGAATACTATTACATGCTCTGGTAAGGTATCGTCACTTACTGTCATAACTCTGTACTATCGGCTTCAGTGTATCAGGCCATGGCAACTCTCTCAATATCGTGTAGACGGACTCATGTTTGTGCTGCCAAATTGCCCGCAGTAATGCCACGCAGTTTTGCAGGGAGTCGTCTGTCTGTAAAAGGTCTTGTGGCATTCGCTTCGTCAGAAAGCGGGCTTCGTAACTGATAGATATGTGAGAATTCTGACAAGTGATCGATGATCGACATCGGAGTGCTTACATTTGATCTGTCAGTAGATGAGACAAGAAGTAAGCGGCATAGAATTGGCTCAGAAGCTCTGCCTGTCTGTTATCTTGAAAGGAGAGGAGATATGCTTCTTCCTCGTATGGGGAGAGTATGTCGAAGAGCTTGGACGGTGTAGCGGCCGATGAAATCGCTGCAGCAAGCTGCTCTTGCGAAAGTTGCGGGGTGTTCATTCTTGACAACTCGATTCTGTGACACTACGACCCTCGCAGCAGATCAAAACCGGTGGTGTAGGGGAGTAGAAGCGGGATCGTCGATATGGCTGGCTGACTGGCTGGCAATGATAATGATGCGGTGCGGGGACAATCGGAGGTTTCCCCAAAACCGCAACGGGCGGCTTGCGACTTACGTACCTGGCGTGCCAAGACCCCAGAAGAGACCACCTTGCGAAGCTCCAGCCTCGACTCCATCTCCCCCGGTCTCTCTCCCTTTCAACTTTGCTCTCAACAAACCGCCTGGGCAGGACGAGAGTCACTCGCTTATCACTTTTCCCAATTGGAAATTTGATTTTTACTTCCTGGCCATTATGGCCGAATCGCCCCTCAATGTCCTTCTAAAGGGTAACACCGGCAGGAACACTCGCGGTCTACTGCGGATTATCATTCTGGGAACTATTGCCGCTGCCGCTGTGTCCAGTCGATTGTTCAGTGTTATTCGTATGTACCACCAGCTCCATTGGCACCGATTTAACCGATACGATTGAAGTTGCTAACTGCCTCTACGTTAGGCTTTGAAAGTATTATTCACGAATGTACGTTACTCCCACACCGACCGACCTATTGAAGTATTACCCGACATTCACCTTGAGCTCACTCCGCGGCCCGCGATTGCACATCATATCCGGCTCCATCGCCTTGGAATTGACACTGATATGGTCTTGCCTACTAGTCGATCCTTGGTTCAATTTCAGGGCAACCAAATACTTGGTTCAACATGGCTTCTACAGCTTCTGGGACTGGTTTGACGACAGTAAGTTGCTTCATCACCAACAATGACCGTTGTTCCAAGAGAATGCAATGGCGAAGTCCTTGGACAAGCAATCCTCAAGTCTGACCACCGTCGAACTTTCTAGGAACCTGGCACCCTCTGGGACGTGTTACGGGTGGTACACTATATCCCGGCCTGATGGTGACTAGCGGCGTGATCTACCACATTCTGCGATTCCTGACCATCCCCGTTGACATCCGTAACATTTGTGTCTTGCTTGCTCCTGGATTTTCGGGCTTGACTGCTTTGGCGATGTACTTCCTTACTTGTGAGATGTCCACATCGCCATCTGCCGGACTGCTTGCGGCTGCTTTCATGGGCATCGTCCCTGGCTATATCTCTCGTTCGGTTGCTGGCAGCTATGACAACGAGGCCATCGCCATTTTCTTGCTCGTCTTCACCTTCTTCCTGTGGATCAAGGCTGTCAAAAATGGCTCTATCATGTGGGGTGCATTGACTGCCCTGTTCTACGGCTACATGGTGTCGGCTTGGGGAGGGTATGTTTTCATCACCAACTTGATTCCCCTGCATGTCTTCGTTCTCCTTTGCATGGGTAGATACAGCTCGCGCATCTATATCAGTTACACCACCTGGTATGCTTTGGGCACTTTGGCAAGCATGCAAATTCCTTTCGTTGGATTCTTGCCCATCCGGAACAGTGACCACATGTCTGCTCTCGGTATCTTCGGCTTGCTTCAACTGGTGGCATTTGCCGACTTCGTGCGAGGCTTCATTCCGGGCAAGCATTTCCAGAGACTCCTGACTACCATGATCATTGTCGTTTTCGGCGCTGCATTTGTGGGACTTGTTGTCCTCACTGTCTCTGGAGTCATTGCTCCCTGGAGTGGTCGCTTCTACTCGCTGTGGGATACTGGTTACGCAAAGATTCATATTCCTATCATCGCATCGGTCTCGGAGCACCAGCCTACCGCCTGGCCAGCATTCTTCTTCGATCTCAACTTCTTGATCTGGCTTTTCCCAGCCGGTGTCTACATGTGCTTCCGTGATCTCAAGGACGAGCACGTCTTCGTCATCATCTACTCCGTTCTTGCCAGTTACTTTGCTGGTGTCATGGTTCGTCTGATGCTGACGCTGACCCCTATCGTCTGTGTCGCTGCTGCCCTGGCTCTTTCCACTATTCTTGATACCTACGTTCTTGCCAGCCCAGGCCCCAACCCCAAGGCGAAGGTTGTTGAGGACACCTCATCGGAGCCCCTCCGTTCTGCAAGAAAGCCGGACGTTGGAGTCACATCCTACCTCTCGAAGCTGGTGGTGACATCGTCCGCGATTATTTATCTTCTCCTGTTCGTCGCGCACTGCACCTGGGTCACTTCGAACGCCTACTCTTCCCCATCCGTGGTTCTGGCCAGCCGGATGCCGGATGGCAGCCAGCACATCATCGACGACTACCGCGAGGCCTACTACTGGCTCCGCCAGAACACTCCGCACAATGCCAAGGTCATGTCCTGGTGGGATTATGGCTATCAAATCGGTGGTATGGCTGACCGCCCCACTCTCGTTGACAACAACACCTGGAACAACACCCACATTGCCACCGTTGGAAAGGCGATGAGCTCCCGGGAGGAGGTCAGCTACCCCATTCTTCGGCAGCACGATGTCGACTACGTCCTGGTGGTTTTCGGTGGATTGCTGGGCTACTCCGGTGACGATATCAACAAGTTCCTGTGGATGGTTCGTATCGCCGAAGGTATTTGGCCGGATGAGGTCAAGGAGCGTGACTTCTTCACTGCTCGCGGTGAATACCGTGTAGATGATCAAGCCACACCTACCATGCGCAACAGCTTGATGTAAGGATATCCTTCTCTGGGATTGGGAGCAAACACTAACGATGAGCTAGGTACAAAATGTCCTATTACAACTACCACACCATGTTCCAGGGCGGTCAGGCCGTGGACCGTGTCCGTGGTGCGAAGCTCCCGGCGGAGGGACCCCAGCTGTCCACCCTCGAGGAGGCCTTCACCAGTGAGAACTGGATCATCCGTATTTACAAGGTCAAGGATTTGGACAACCTGAACCGAGACCACAGCAACGCAGTCGCATTTGACCGCGGCCACAAGCGCAAGCGTGCGACCAAGAAGAAGGGCCCTCGTGTTCTGAGAACCGAGTAGGGAAGGGTTGTTGCTTGTTGTTCATGTAGCAGATAGAGTATCCGGGACGATGAAAGTGATCCCTTGTGTACTAGATGTTTCATCATAACCTGTATTTGATCGACGACATAAGCCAAACTAGCTGTGCAGCTTCACTTCATCATAGTGTGGAGCGGCTCGATTGTATAAAAAAGCCTACATTGTTACCTGCTGAGGCAAGAGCGCAGACGGAAACACCGATTCAGGATTGGATAATATACACATAAAACCTATATCATAAAACAGAAGCTAAACTTTGAGGGGGAATAAATGAGCAGAGATGAGTGTCAATGACAAGCGGGAAAGATTTGCGGAAGCACTCCTGCTTTTTGAACGTATCTTTGGTGGGCCTGTCACTTGATCTGCGGTATACCGAATAATCTTGAACTTGATCTGACAACTGGCCGGGCTTCAATCGCTTGCGGTTATCCGTGGAGTCGTACCAGTAGTGCGAGGGATATACACCATCTTCCGGCGGGCAACCAGGCTTCGGTGTATGGTATGTATATGAGTCCTTTGAAATTAGGCGAAGCCAATCCAAGCACAGCCAACCCGGGCCCGGATGATGATAGCCCCACGCGCAAAGGAAGATTACCATACAACTCCACGACCCCACGCTCCGTTATTTCTTCTCTGCGACGATAGCACCCAACAGTTCAAGCGATTGCAACCAATTGCATCCAAGCAGGAGAAGAGGAAGGGATGTCTGTGGACATCCGTCTATTGCTTCTGCTGGGGCTTGGCGGGGGTCTCGGGGACCTTGACGTCGGAGAACTCATCCTGGCCGACGGCGCGGATGGTGTAGGCATCTGGAGAAATTGGGAGGTTGATGGTTAGCTCCAGCTCCTTGGAGATCAATGGGAGACTGGTGCAAGCACGAGGGAGGACCTGTGGATGAACATACAGACACCAATGGTGAATCCGACGAGGCACAGGCCGGTAATGGCGTTCTTGACGAGGTAGGGCCGGCGGGCACGCAGGAGGGCGGCTCCGGCGCGGTAGTCCTTGCCGTAGTAGGTGGAGTTGAAGCTGTAAACGGCAGGAATCGGTGTCAGTATGTTCTGACTGTGCTCTCATGAAGCGGTTTCGTGAATTCGCGGCGAGACGGTGGCATGATTGCCGGGGTTGGGTTGAGTTGACTGTCGCATTTGGAAGAGAGGGAATGGCGGGGGGGGAAAGGGAGAACATACATTCCAGAGGCCATTTTGACAAGAGTGCTTCGGTCTTGAGTTATCACCGGATGGATCGGGGTTGTAAGGGTATGAAGGAAAGAGGAACGAGAGACGATCCGATCGTTAAAGGCCGAAAGATTGGATGACAGTCTGGATTCCTCCAGAAATTGGATGGGATGCCGCCGGGCTTGGCGTTCCTGGCCGGCTGGACCAGTTGTCCGTCGCTGCGGGGGGATACACTACTATAGAAGACAATTATGTCGGTGGGTTTTGATCTTATTTGATTGTTATATGAGCAGGGCTCACCGTATTTGGGTTCCCATACTGACCGTCTATATCCACGTAGTACTAGCGTATGTTGGGTATGACTTCCCTGAATGCTGTGTAGTATCTTGTACTAAAAATATATAGTACGATTGGCTGCCTCGCCTCTTAGAGTACGTCAACTGGCCTTTTTGATCAAGTCAGTATGCATGACCTGACAGGTCATATGTGATCCTCAAGCATTATTCTCACAGCAGCCCCCAAAAGACATAGAACAGAATGTTTATTTTGCAGGCAGTGCACGTTATCATTGTATGATGTGATGATTGCCAGCTGCCATGAGCGGGAGGCATGACACGTGACTGGGAGGAGCGTGACTTTGCCTGGCTTTGTCTGGGTCTCGGCTTCTTCATACAATCAATTCAGTTCCGCGTTTAACCTCCTCTCCTCTCCTCTCCTCTCCTCGTTCCCCCCCCCCCCCCACCGCCATCCACCTTTGATCTCGCCAGCAATTCTCATCTCTTCAATCGACCCGGGATCTCTTGCATACGTCTCTCTCAGCGACCATTTCCGACGTTCTCTACGCCTCGTATGTGTCTCGGGGACAAATAGTCGTCGCGGCCGTGTTATAAGCTCCGTGCCTTGGCACCTAACTTCCCTGCGTAGACAGCTTTGACCGGTGACAATCAGCATTGAATCTGCCAACCCCGCCTCGCTCGCCCGTCTTCTGCCAGGCCGTTTCCACCGGCCGCTGAACGGAGTCGTAATGGCTCAATCGGCCGATCACCTCGTCGATCAGATCGCGCAGCTTAATGCTGCCCGCAATCTCGTTCTGGGCGATGCCGCCTTCTACCCCCAGATCGTGAACGGTGTTCTTCCTATAATCGGATCGCGTGCGCGACTAGAATTGCGGAGATGGGGCGCGGAGTTCCTGGCCGAAACATTTTCTAGCCCGGCGCTGGCTTCGACGCAGAAGGAGCAGCTGGCCGCCAACGTCCTACAGGCGCAGCGCGAGATACTGGAGTTACCGGAAGGAGATCCCTTGGTCTTGAAACATATAGTGCAGAGTGCTGCCAGTCTGTATCCGTTGGTGTTTAGGCATATGTAGGTCACCGGCGTTTGCTTGTTGTTCACTGCCCCGAGACCCCCCCCTCCCTGGGAAACAAAGCCTTCGTAGACGCTCGCATGAAGCAGACGTGATGCCTAAATTGTCTTTCTTGTTAGGCGCAACCACTAACACTTCAATGCTGCAGTATAAACCATCCGCGAGATGGAGCCATGTGGGAGAATATGACCGCTATCAAACAAGGTATCCTGCGGCGATGGGACTCCTTTCCTTCGCAGGTCAAGATCTGTTGCATCAAGTTCGTTCAACGCGTGGTTCAAGTGCAGACCCATGGACCGATTGCGGACCCTAGAGTACGTACACAGGATCCGGTCAGAGGTGTTTTGTGCGATCTGAAAGTTAATGGTTGTTCCTTTCTTGCCTAGCGACCTGACCAGAACGAAACCTCCTTGGCTATCGTGCCTCGCAATCATCCCGTTTTGTCACTTCCTAACCTCGAGGCAGAAGCCTCTGGACTTCTGGATAGACTTCTGTCTGCTCTGCAGGAAGAATCGAGGTACTTTCTCTTGACCGAGAACTGGGAACTTCTGGGAATGTTGCTAATGTCTCCGCAGCGATCCCATCCTCGTGAACGCAACGCTGAACTGCCTGGCAGTCCTCATCCGCAGTCGACAGTCCATCGGCAACAAAATCATCAATGCGATCATGAATTTCTTCCCTGCGAGACAAGTACGCCCACCCATAACTCCCGCTGTCCGGGTCGGAGTCAAATCGATGGAAAGAACCGCCAGGGCCGTTCTCGAACATATAATGAAGAGGTGAGACAAGGATGTACGGTCAACCTGTACTATGTGCTGAAGACTGTCTAGGAATGCCAACCATCCATTTTTTCGTAAGATGGAACAGCACGTCGATCGGCTGAAGAACTCACGCCTCGAGACCGTCGACGACGCAACAAGGAAACGTGGACCACCTGCCGAACCCACGGACGGGCTTGACAAAACGAAACGAACGAAACTCGACGCAGAGACGCCGCCCTTGGTCAAAATCCCGCCACTTCCTCCTGGCCCAACCAGTTACTCGCAGCTCTTTACCCTGACGGAGGATGCTGAAGCTTCACGCTTTGATGTCAAGCAACTACCTCCAGATCTCCTTGTCAACATCGTCGTTCCCATTCTCGCTCGAGTGGATCAGTCGGCGTTGACCCAGTCTATCGATGTAGGTCAAGACGTCAGGACGTAGAAGCAATATACTGACCCGGCAATAGGCCATTCGCATGCGTTACGAGACAATTCAGAAGCGACAGGCCGCGCAGGCTCCGGCGGCGGCAGCGGCTGCCGACGACGACGACGATTACGAGCCAGAGTACCAACCTATGGACGTTGCAGAACCGACGCGCGAGCAGGCGGATGCTGTGGCGGCCGAAGTAGCAGAAATTCAGCCAGATCTTGTCTCATTGGGACCGTTCGTCTTACCTCAGCCCCCCCCACTATCAGAGGCCGAGGCTGCAGAAGTTGGTCGCAGTGCTGTCGGGAGAGTATTCGGTATGCTAGCGTCTAGTGCAGTCGCCTCGAATCCGGCGAAGGGAAAGAATCAGCAGCAGCCGGGATTTGCTCGATTGGCCGGTAGCACCTTCGATCGAGACGCTTGGGTCACTCTACTCACCCGACTCGCCACAAGAGCTCCAGCAGGCCTGGAAACGGGGACAGGGAAATTCGGACAAGACGCATCGAGTCGAGGCAAGGCAACGATCTCTAATACAATCCGGGAGACTCTATATCGGTACATCTTGGAGGACTTCCGGGGCCGGGTGAATGTGGGCATCATGTGGTTGAACGAAGAGTGGTACAATGACCGGGTACAGATGCAGTTCACTGCCTCGCAGCGGAGGCCAGAGGACGAGGAAGCTACTGTACCGCTGTTTTATGACCACTGGGTCCTGAGACTCTTGGATGGGTTCTTGCCATATATCGATTCACGAGACACCAAGATCTTCATCCGCTTCTTGAGTGAGATTCCGGAGGTGACAATACCCATCACACAGCGGGTCGCTAGTCTTGCCAAGGACCCCGAGCGTGTCAATCTATGCGTTCAATCACTACTGTAGGTCAACTGCTGGGAAACTCGGGGACCCTTTATGCTGACCGTCACCAGGTATCTAATCATGTTTCGACCACCGGCCCGCGAGGTATGTCTTAATGCCTTGGAGCATGTATACGAGACCTGTACGTTCCGTGTTCTTCGCTACCTGTTCGTCTTTTAAGCTAATTTGTCGCAACGCAGATGAGGAATCACGCCCCGCTGCTGGCAAGGTGCTGGCCAAATGGCGCCCCAAGGCAGCGCAGCCACAGCAAGAACAGCAAACGACACTGGCGAGTCGCGGTGCCACAAGCGCGGCTCCTGTTGGTAGTGCTTGAGACACTTGATAGAGCCTGTACAGCTTATGGATCATCCCGTTGCTCGAAGGAAGCGTAACCTGGACTTCCCGGAATGGATTATCACATTGTGCCAATAGACGATCTCTCAATCATGTAATTTACAACCTTTAATTTAGTGCCTGTAGTCGGTGTTAATTGTCCGCCGCGGGATGCAAGCTTATTGCAAGTAAGAGATCTTTCCGTGGCGGAGCACGGTGTCTGTATATAGGCATAAATGACTTGACGCTTTCCAACAAGTTGTCTCGATGGTGTAGTTGGTTATCACGTGGGTCTCATACGCAGTATGACATGGAAGCTTCAACTTCCTTGATATCCCAAGGCCGGGAGTTCGAACCTCCCTCGGGACATTTCTTTTGGCAGTAGAATCTACGTCCCTGGAAGGAATTGGCCATTATTTTTGTTGATTCGGGGGTCAACTCGCTCCCTATGCGGGGAAAGATGCATGGGCAATGCAAAAGATTAGGCAATTCTGCTGTTTTAGGTTGTGGTGATCAAATTTTGTGGTCATACCTCCTGCCGTTCTCATCACATTCTACCTACATCCTCTTATCCTATATATTTTCCTCTACAGTGTGCTGGACAATTCGATCCTCCTTTCTGACAGGAACCCCATTGTTCTCCCTGTGTATTAGAACAGCCCCAGGGATTCTATCATGCGATGAGTTGCCTCCGAGCTTCCACCATCCATGCTTATGCGCACCCTAAGTAGTCAATATAAGAACCGTTACCAACCCACAACCTATCATAAGTTACAAAGCACAAGAAACAAGAATGCAGTCAAATGTCTCCTTACTACTACGGCAAGCTCACTCTTCAATCCTTCTCTTGTCCTAAACCCTAGGCTCCTAGACCACCTGTCTCGAACGCACCGCCCAATACGTAGTGCTCAATCGATCGAGTCTCCCTCGTGCATCCACAGACCACAGTATGCACAAGGAAACCGGCAAAGCTAAACGTAATACTTTCCCTGTCTGCATCGACCCTACAAGAACGAACAAGCGTTTCTTTCTTTCTTTCTTTCCTTTTTTCCTTTCTCAATCTCGCATCTGTATACCCATCCAGACCAGCGAAAAGCAATGGCACAGACCCACCTGCAATACTGCCAAACCATGAGAAACGGTATTCAAACCGTACCTCCGTTCCTCGCCAACCACGCACCCCACCAGCCAGCAAACCGAAGGCGCCATCATATGCAAGAAACACCCCTCATGCGCACGATAGTATGGCTAACTAGAGTCCAAGAGGAGCATTGCCCACCTAAGGTAGTAAGTAGTTGGTTCGACGAACCACGAACAACCGCAGTAAACTAGAACTAATTTAACCAGAGCTAAGCCCGTGTAACCGAGCTAAGCTTTTTCCAATGGGACCGCTTCAGGCATCAATAGTGCTAGATGCGAAAGTAGGTAGGTAGGTAGGTAGCGTGGGGGGATTTGGAGGCCGTCGGCAATGGCATTCATAATTCATCTTTTATTAGAGGGATCCGATCCACCCCTTTGCCCTAGAGATCGAACCACTATACGGAATACTACAGCACTAAGGGCTCATAGAGTCATAGCAGACT